AAAGAATCGACACAAAATACAAAGTACAGAAGGAAAAAAAAAAACAATCAGAAATATAAGAAAATTAGTAATAACAAAATTAAAACTTCACAGAAGCAATGACTAGTTTTAGTTTTGACTGAGTCAAGTACAAAAAGATGTGTAGAATTTTTGAGAAAGCTCCCCACTAAGTTCATGTAAAACACAATGCAAAAAGAAAAAGTTTCACAGCAAGTGAAATACATATAAAAAAAATAATAGATAGTGTTAGTTCAGTTAGTAAAAAATTGTAAAAATGCATACTAAATTTACAGTGATAAAATATTACATATCACCTTTCATTAATTAAAATTTAGTAATAATTTATAGGTAAAGAAGTGGCAGCAAAGTTTTATCATAGAATCAAAAAAATAAATAAACTATTTACTGAATTTAAATATTGAATTTAACATTAATGTAAAATATGTTTGTTGATTTGTTTATACTAATTAACTGAAATAATTTCTTCTAATAACTTAAATTAATAATTTGTTTCCAATAGCAAATGGATAAGTATTAATTTAGCACATTTTGAGTTGTAGTTAGGAGACTGATGTTAATTAGGAATTAATAGTCATAAACCAAATGTTGCAATATTTTTGTTAACATTTTTAAAATTAAAAAAAAAAAAGAATATTAAAAATTTTCTTTAAAAAATTAGTTTTTCAGAATAAAAAATTTTATTAAAACAATTTTGTTTTTAAATTTATTCAATGTTTTCAATACAGCAAAATTCTAATTATCCAAATTAGGACAAAAATCAGATGTGGAATATTGAATAATCAGTCAGATGGCAATTTATTAAATTGTAAAAAAATATGTTAAAAACTTAAATGACTTATAATGTATTAATTTATGAAACACAAAACCAAATTGCTTGTATATTAAAGGTTTCAACAAAAATTTTTGAATGCTGAAGTTAACCTTGAACTATGGTTGCTCTCTTTTATTGTCTTTTTACACTATTTCTAAGTTATCTGGAATTATCTAAGTTTTCTAAGTTAAATGGTAGTGAGATAACTGGTGGTCCAGGTAACAGAATAAGGCCAGGTAACAGGATAAATTAACCTTCAATTGCAGATCTTTAACTTAGTTTCAAGGTGGAACTTGCATGCTTTTGTGTAGCACAAAAGGTTAAATTATTTAATGGGATACAAATGGAAGATATATCCCTTCATTTCCGTTTTATAATCCTTATATTATTCTGAGATATACAATAAAATAAGCAGTACGTATTTATCCTGTGTATAATATATTTACATTACAGTTATAGATTAAATTAAAAAATATCACGTCTAAAAAAAAGAAAAACAACTTTTGTTACTGAGTAAATTAAAAAAAAAAAAAATCTTTGTAAATGGAAATTCATAGACTTAAAAATTAAATACAGTTTAAGTACAACATTATGAATCAAGCTCCTATAATACATATCATCTTAATAAAATACTTTCTGAGGAATATTACATTTGGAATATATAATAAATGGAAAAATTCTCTAGAGTAATAAAATTGAGCTTATTTATACATAGTGGGAAAAAAATATTGTCAACCTGCCAATTAGGAATAAAACAATTTCAATGTTAAAATAAACATGCAGCACAACTTTACACGAATAGCTTCAGTTAAAATAAATAAATAAATAATAGTTTTAAAAAATCAACTTTCTACCAGTTTCAATTTTCAAAAAAATATTCACCACAATACATTATACATAGTTAAATCACAAACCAGACTTTTTCTTTTGTTATCAGAAGGTAACTCCCAAAGATTGATATATATAAATTTTATATATATAAATCAGTATCCTTCTCAGTAATCAAGACAAATCTTATACATTGTTATTTTTTAACTTGATAAACTATAAATAATTTTGAAAATAAGCAAAAAATAATGTTTCAACAAAGAAAAAATATTGAAAGTTAAAAATTATAATAATTAATTTTTTTTTTTAAATTGCTTTGGGTGATGTCTAAATGTTTCAATAATTATACTATATATACTTGTACAATCAGCATTTTTTCCTTAAAAACATTAGGAATAATAGGCCATAATAATAAGAAAATAACTCTTAAAAGAAAAAATAAACACTGAAATTTATTAATTATGATAATTTTATTTATAGTTTTACATTTAAAAAAAAACATTGCTTTCCATAATATCTAAATAAAACAACCATGAGGTCCATAGTAATTTTATTAATTATACTATGAGAAACAAGTTTCTTTATTTAATAATTATAAATTTTTAATTTTTATAGCACATTCAGTAGCTATTCCTTAAACATGATGTTCTCATTTTAGAAGGAGGGGAAAAAAGTAAACAAATTCTATTAAAAAAAAAAAGGCAATTTAGATTCAAAGCATTATTCAATAAATGACATATAAGGAATGGTCACTATTAAAGAAAACGCTTAATCACCTGACCTTTCATACAGAAAAAAAAAATATAAAAAATTGCAATAATTTTTTACATGCAAGCAATTTGACAATGTTTTATATTATTAGTTGCAATAACATTGAAATACAGAATTAAACAGGACATTTAAGTTTAGAGTAATACAGTTATTTAATTATAGCAAAACTAATCTGTTTACATAATTAAGACTAACACTATAAACATTAATAATTAATTTAATCTTAGAATAATGAATCTGATTTTCTAGGATTGAATTATAACATCAACTGGGTTGAAATAGCGATAAAATTAGACCTCAAAGCACATTCGAGTATAATTCAGAATGGTAATAAACAAAATAGTTTAATTATTGATGCCAATCGAAAAAAAAAAGAAATATCAAATAATAATTGCAAAAATAGTTAAAATTTTAATTGTTATAAATAAGATGAGATTCGAGCATTTCACAATAACTGAACTAATTTCTTTTAATTGATCTGGATTTATGTCAAAAAACAACATAGTAATACAACTAAAAAATAAAAAAAGATTTAACAATGTTAATCATATTAATTGCATATCTAAGTATTTTAACTTTTGCTTATGCACAATTCAACTCCAGATTCATTTATAAGATTTAATTTTAAAATGAATTTACTCTTACAAAGTTTTATTTTAATGTATTAAAACTACATTAAACAAAAAAACAAAACAAAAATACTTTTCTTAACCTATTAATAGTATATTTAACACAGATTTTATAAATTAATGAAAATTATTAATTTACATATAGTAAATTTAATAAAAGGTTAGATAGAAACAAAAGTCCAAGTTGGCTTTTCTTTTTATCAAAGCCTTTTAAAGAATTTTTTTCTAAGGGAGGAAAGAAATATGTATATATTTTTTCTATCATTATAGGGGGAAAATATTGTTCTAAGATTTAAATATTATTATCATTAAGTATGCAGCTTTGCTGCATAAAAGCTTACGTTTGAAAAAGCCAAATATATAACTTAAGGGCATACTAAAATCATATCAGACATCTTTTGTATTGCATGTTGATTTATGGAAAATTATATAGATACAAATCTCAATTTATTAAGCCACTGATTAATATTTCGGAATAAGTTTTGTTTCCTTTTAGTCATTAAAATATAATTTATAGAACATAGTAAACTTTCAAAATATTTACTTAAAACTTTAAGTAAATATTTTCAAAGCTAATATAGTATCTTTGGTTAAGTTTGACATGGTTTAAAAAATACTTCAACTTTAAAAATTCAAATTTGTTTACTAAGTTTCATAAAGTATATTTTAATAAATAAAATTAAAAAAATTTCTAAAATATTGACTAGTGACTAAATAAATGGGGATTGGAATGCATATAATTCTCCAGACGTTGTTAACTAAAACTAAAAAATTGTTCCCTAAATAAATAAAAAAACAATTTTTTTTAAATTGTGAGGCACTGTGTAAATCATGAGTATGAGTTTCAATACCGATATATATGCTTACTGAGATGATGTTTCATGTAAGTGATAGTAAAGTTATATTTGTACTATATAATTAATAAAATACTGCAAAAGTTATGAGAACTACAATGAATGCTTGTAACCTAATTCTATTTATGAATACCAGCTTGATATTTTAATTAATCAAGACTGATAATGAGCAACATACTTAACATGCTACATTTTCAAATTAGTTGCAGTTTTCATATTAGACCAACTTACAGTTTTAATTAAGGGTGACAATTGAATTGTCAGCAATTTGAGAAAGAGAAATAATTAAGCTCATATTTTATATCAATTACAGCTAAATATGTATCTTACTTGCAAAACTGTAATATGATTGTAGTCAACAAAAAATAGTATTATTTACTGATTCATAAGTTACTAAATAGCGTTTTTATGTATTAGAACTGGTTAAATTTTTTTAAAAAAAAGCTATCTCAATTGATTTTTCTTAAAATTGAGTGATAAATAAATCAAAATATATACCCAAGAATGTCCAAGTTAGTTAATTACCATACAATTATTAAATGATGTTAATTATTCAATATTAATAATTTATATTGAATAAAGTAACATAAGTTGATATCTAAGCCTTTTTTTAAACAAAATATTATTGTATCAAAAAAGTTTATACAAAAAGTTCATTTCAAAAATAAATAGTAGAAAACAAAGTGGAAAAAAAAAATAGGAATGTATGGGTCAAATAAGAGATCATTATTTGAATCAAAAATAAAGGTTTAAAAAGAGAATTTTAAAATAAAATTTAAAATTGTGGTCCTGGAAACAAAACATTGATTTTTAGTTTAAAATAGTCTGTATTCAATAAATAGATATAGATAACATAATATCACTAAAAAAAGTTATAAGGAAAAGATCATTTAATTATTTTCTTTAGGGAATTAAGAAAATTTATTAAAATACAGCTCCTAAAATTTTTTAATTTTTATAATTATATCTTAACAAGCTCAGCATAAATTTTCAAATGAAGAAAAATTCAGGTGTAAACAATTAAAAAATAAATAAAATATATTACTAAAAAAAAACTTCTCATTAATTTATTTCTTTTGTCCTAAATTTTGATATTGCAATGACTACCATTTCTGTGAAAATTCAAAAATCACCATACTGGTGTAAAATGGTTAGTGATTCACTATCTTACTGAGGATTGCCGTTGATCACCGAGTTTCATAATACCTGGCAGGGGAAGCGATTCATCTCGAGATTTCTTCTCGGCTGGAATGTCTAAGTGATTAGAGAGATCATCAGTTCCTGAAGCTTTATTTACAGTTTTAATCACTGGAGTGTCGCCTTCGTCTATGCTAAAACGAACTCTAGAAGAACTTCCATTTTCCTCATTTGATGAGCTCCTAGAGCTGTTGATGGGCGTCCCGTTTGTAGGCGTTCCATCCACATTAGGAGATGCGATGGATAAACCCTTCGAAGGGGAGGAAGAGGCCCCTTCGATGCGCGCCTTCATTTTCGCATAAGCTAATGAACGATAGCTGCCACTGGCTTCACAATTGGAACTTTCCTGACTGTTTCGTCTTCTTGGTGTATTAGGCAGAGAAGTGATAACAGTAACGTAAGGTGGGTGATAAGCCTCTGCACTGATAGGGGGCAATGAGTGCGAAACATTCAAAGATTCGTGTTCATTTTCTTCAGATCGATAAGCAGGATTAACACTAGAGGAAGAATTAGAAGTATCAGACAGATTAGAAGAAGTTCTTCGATGGGTGTAGATTATTCGTTGTGGCGTGCGAGGCTGAACTAGACAGGTTGTTGAAGGAGTAGGAGAGTTGGGGTTGTCGTGCAAGTGAAAACTTTCCCTATTGTAGTTTTCTGGATAAACTCGTTCCACTAGATAGACATCGGGTCGCGTTTCATCAGTATAAACTTTTTCAATGTAGCATACTGATTCTGCGCCTGCACCACGATATTCCTGATAATAGTGGTAGGAAACCTCTGGATGTCGAGAGTGATCTGAGAAGTGCGGTGGGGGTGTATGATGACTATCTTGTCGGTTGAAGTCCATGTAAGACATTCTATCGAACACAGAAGAAATGCCTGAAAGAAAAAGAAAAAACTCTGCACATTCAATGAAAGTATATTCATTTTAAACAAGTGCTAAAATCTATGGCTCAATGCACAATTCTTCAAGATTACAAAACTTGTGGTCATAGGGCCAAAAGTGTCCCTTGTGAGTAATTTGACCTCATCTCTGAACAGCCATAAATATTAATAAAAAATATCTATAATCAATGGAAAATATACTTATAAAATGATGAAAAAAACATTGAAACATATAAAAAAAGATTCACAAGTTCAACTACAACAGTCACTTTAATCTGATACTGCATTAGAAAGTTTAGTAATAAAATTTGTTTTGTAAATAATAAAGTTAAATCTTTGTTGAAAAGGAAAATTTTTAATTACCTAGATTTCTTCTTTTTTTTTTATATATATGCCTTGAAATATATACTTCCTTAAATTGCTTGGTAAACTTGTTTTCTATATTTTTTATTTACTTCTATTAAATTTTATTTCTTATTTAACTTATTAATAAATATTATTATGTTTATTTCCCTTATCTACACTTGAGTAAAGAAATAAGTTATGCATGAGTTTGTCAAATGGTTTAAATAAAATTATATTAATAAAAAAAAATGCATACCAATGCTTAAAATATAAATATAACACAGTAATAGATTATTACATGTATTATGATATAAATGATAAAAAATACAATTATAGTTTTACAAAAGTTGAACAGCAAACACAGAAAATACTGTAAATTATCAGAAATCAATATTAAACATCTCTTGAACAGTTTTTATTTACAACAGACTGCACACATACAAAATATGTACAGTCATTTTTTATAATTACGAATTTGAAATAATTTTTTCACAAAAATTTCTTAAATTGTCTTTGATAATTCTCATTTCTAAAAAGTTAAAATTTTAACAGATCAACAATATTGCAGAGTCCTAATTTTGAGAGGAAAATGTGACCTCATCAAGGAAAAAAATACAGAGTATTTACTCACAAAAAAGAATCTCATGCGGCCATGGTGCTAAAATATTTCACTTGCAATATTCCACAAAATACAAACAATAATTAAAAAATATTACAATGATAATATTTCCAGAAACAGAATCTCATGATAGTAAAATATTGAACTGACAATATCTCCAGAAACAGAATCTCATTAGGAAAAAATATAAAACTAATAATATCTCTAGAAATAGAAACTTATGATAGAAAAGTATTAACTGACAACCTCCAGATATAAAATACCATGAAGGAAAAATATTTAATGGACAATATCTCATTAAAAAAATAATAAAGTTAAAATATTGTGTGCAGATGGAAAAAAAAAATTTTCTGAAACATTTATCCACTGCAAGATTTTGTACAAGCTAGGTATTGTTTACTGGTCCTTAAATGCATAATTTTTATTATTATTGTGAATTATTGTTAGCTGTTATGGCTTTAATAAATAAAAACAATGATTAAAATAAAAATAATGATTATTAATAAAGAAAAATAATGAATATTATAATAAAAAAATTATAATGATTATTTAAAAATAGAGAGCTACACATAATTCCCAGAACAAATAAAATACTTGCAGACAAAAGAAAGTGTAATGCATAAAAATACTTAAAATCATGAGAAATCTTTCTATAATGCAACATACTTGTAATTTAGAAGTTAAGAAGGAAAAAAAATGTACCTAAAGGAGAAGGACCCAACCCAGAGCTGGAACTAGTTGCTGCATGTTCACTTTCATTGCTAGCAGAAGATGATTTGCGACAAGGACTTTGAGCATGAGGTGTATAAGATCCTCCTGAACTTATGCTAGGATTGTGTTGAGGTGAATCAGTAAACCTTAAAGGAATGCCAAAGTCAAAATTTAAACCAGGGCGGTAATGTCTAGTTTGGCCATGATAGGTATTATGAGCATAGCCAGAAGTTGAAGAAAACTCATATTCTGAACTAAGACGAACTGGGGAACCTGTAAGGGTTAAAAAGTTAATAATTATTAGAGTATGCAATATATATATATATATATAGTTTAAAGTAAAAACCAATGGAAACTAAATTAGTATTTTCCTATCCAATAAACTAATTTTTAAATAATAGTTTTAATCAAAAAGAAAAAAAAAATATATATGTATGTCACGGCGAAAGACCGAAATCGGTGGTTGTTGACTTTCACCGGTGAATGTCGACAAACACCGAATACGTCGGTGAAAGATCGATTATTTCATTACATTCTTGTACATTCGGACCCTCACCGGTGTATGTTGACAATCACAGGTATGCTTTGGTGAATGTCCGAAATATTTATTACATTCGATTTGATATGAATTTATTCGTTGATATAATTACATTACTCGATATTTTAACCCTACACTGATGTTTTTTTAAGGTTAAGCGCCACTGCCCGGTATACCCGACACTGATGTTTTTTAAGGTCAAGTGCCGTTGCCCGGTATATATTTGCCCGATACTCCAAAACACTGATGTTTCTTCTAATCTATCATCAGTAAGTATTAAAATATAGACTAAATATAAATATATCAAATAAATATAATATTAACGAATAAATTAATATAAAATTGGATATAACAAATATTTCGGACATTCACCAAAGCGACTATGTGATTGTTGACATTCGCCGGTGAGTCAGAAATAAGGGTATTTAGCAAATATTTCGGACATACACCAAGCAACTATGTGAATGTTGACATTCACCAGTAAATGTTGACATTCTCCAGATTTCGGGGTTTCACCGTAACATATATATAAGAAAACAATAACATGTCACATCACTATTCAAATGAGTGCACCAATGAAAAATAGTAAAATTTAAAAGAAATAAGTGATGAGTAGAATTGAAAATTACCAAAAATTATCGCAATTTAATTAAAATACAAAAAATATGTTACATGAGGAGCATTTAATATGTTCATAAAGAAAATCAGGGACCCATACAATTTATAAAAATCTTAACTATTTCAATAGCTACTGAATCATTATTTGACATTATTAGTACAATAATGAATTAAAAAGTTTTAAAATTAATGAGTAAAATAATTTAAAATATTTCTGGAGACAATAATACAATTTTCATCCAAGCATGTTTACTTCAATCAAAGAAATCTAGGCAGCCAAATTTACTATGAAATTTATATGCATTTATACATAAAAATGAAGCAAAAAATAAAATGTAATTTGGATTTGTTGACTGGTCATCAATTTCATTTATAGACATTCCTACTATGAAATTAATATGCATTCATACATAAAAATGCAGTAAAAAATAAAATATAATTTAGATTTGTTGACTGGTCATCAATTACATTCCTACTATGAAATTAATATGCATTCATACATAAAAATGCAGTAAAAAATAAAATGTAATTTGGATTTGTTGACTGGTCATCAATTACATTTATAGACATTCCTACAATTAAACTGTCTTAACATTCACTAGGGTACAAACTTTCTAAACTAGAATCATAAGTACAATAATGCATATAATGTTAACAAAATTAAATTAGCTTAATTAAGGTGTTTTCACTACTTTATTCAGATATATACCTAATATTAATAAATTTTGTATTAAATAAAAAAATTAAAAAAAAAAAGAGTACTGTTTAAGAGTTACCTTTTTTCAAATATTTGCTACAAACATTAAAATTGCATATTTCTTGTTAGTTAGGAGAGGGGGAACTAATTTTTAACATATTATGAAAATTCCTGAAAACCACAAGTGTTATTACTCAACCGTAAGACTGTGGTATAATCTTGTCTACTAAATCGTAATATTTACGGACAAGGCATACTAGTTGACACCTCTGCATTATTCAATTTTTAAAAAAATTATGAATAGATAAAAATCATAAAATAAATTATTAAAAAAAATTAAAGAAATAGAAAATAAAATTTAAATTCTCAGAAATACCTTGTTCTGGATACCACCAACGTTTATCTTCTTCACCATCTTCTTCGGACCAGACTGGTGTTAATTTTGGGTGAATGGTAGTTTGAGTAGCAAGCCTAATATCAAATCCAGCAGCAATACTAGCAGCTATTGCAGCTATGTTATAAAGAGAAAAATTTACAACATGACTGGTTCTTTTGAGACTGTTGCCATCACCAGATGCACCATTGTAGAGGGTGTGCCTAGGTAGTGGTAAACTTTCTAACTGCCACTCCTCAGAACCTAAAATAGATAAAGAAAAAGACGTAAGAGATTTATTTATGCACAAAAACAGCTAATAAACAAAGCAATCTTCTGATGATTTTGGAAAGTCTATCTACCATATAAACATCATTGTTTATATGATAGATTCTCAATTATTTGTAGTACAGAGTGAATAACCCACAAATTATACCCTATAAATATTTAATTTTATTAAAGCTAAAAGATAAAGTGTCATTGATAGAAATATATGTATAAAAAAGGACCCTGGGAAAAAATTATCATTGTTCAGGAACTCGACCAGACAAAATATCATAGGATCAGAATCTTACCTAGGACACATATTGTGGTACTGAATTTAACACAAACAAATATTGTTAAACAGAATGACAAAATATGTGACGAAAGGGTAAAAAGTGTATCTCGTTCAGACGAAATATTGTGGCATAAAATCTCAAGCAGACAATATATTGCAAGACAAAATTTAATATGAAGTGTCATAAAAATATCTATTATGGACAAAATATTAGTAAAAAAAAAAAAAAAAAAAAAAAAAAAAAAAAAAAAAAANAAAAAAAAAAAAAAAAAAAACAATAAAAATCCCTTTTTTTAAATTTAAGCATTTTATAGATTTTTTGAAAACATCTAACTCCAAATAAATGTAAAACCCCAGGTTCTGGACAAAGAAAATTTGGAACATGTTCAAGTGAAATACTTTTTCAATGCTACTTATAACTTTCAAGTGTTTATTTAGCAAAATTTGGATATACAACTACTCAAATAATCATAAATATCGAGAAAAAAAATAGCCATTGGAGATACATAAAATTTGAACAAACAATCCAAAACAAATTTCTATTCAGTTTTTAAATATGACTAAAAATTATATATATATATATATAATTTCAAAACAAAATAGAAACACACAGCAATGAGAAAATTACATTGATATATTAATATTATTGATAATTTTATACATTTTTATTCTTAGCATTTCCTAGAGATCAGATTTCAGATTTGACATCACAGCAATAATTAGGTAACATCATAACAAGCTGTAATAATGATGAAGCATTTGCCAGAGTATCAATGTGTATCATATAATCTAAGTGTCATATGATATAAACATCATTGTTTAATTAGGGTTCGATTGTATATTGCATTATAATGTGCAAAGAAAGTAACATATTAAACAGGTCATAATGAATCTCAATTTTGATGCATAACTAGACACTAAAGTCAGAAATTATTGCTAGGTCATATTCGTCGTATTATTATTATTATATTTGGATATACGAAGAAAATCATGTAAAGAGGAGTATAGTAACAAGAAATATCTAAACTGGCAGTAGTAAGTAACAATAAAAGGATAAAATTTTGTTTATTTTCAAAGCATTCTACAAGCAATACCAATAAACACTAAATCTAAATGCGAACATAAGTTTTTAATTTAAAATCATAGCTGCCAACATAAAATGGAAAAAAATTTAAGCAGATTTTACGATGGAATAGAAAATGTATTCTAACTATAGAGCACCATGTAATATTACTCAAATAGGGTATTACAGGACATGTAATAAAAGTAATTAAAATATAAAAGCTATATTACATTAATAACACAAATTTAAATTGACTGCAACATTTTCTACCTGTGATGAACAAAATGGGCTTGAATATAAATTTATTCTAAGTTTATTATATTCTTAAATGTTTAATTTGGAACAACATTTGGAATAACATAAGATTAAAAAATAAAAAACTCCACTGACAAAATTTTTTTAAAAACTGATTTAAAAATAAGATTTCAGTTAAAATAACAAAAATAAATAAAAATAATTCTTAATTTTTTAAATACTTATTATTTTAGACTTATTAGTAGTAAATAAACAAACTTATAAGCTTACTTTCTTAATAACATAAGTTAAAGAATATAATAAATTACAATTGAAGTGCATGTTCTTAATTTTTAATTTTGGGTAACAAAAGATATAAAATAAATTTTAAGATTGCTCTGACAAACTCTTGTATAACCTAAGTTTAAAAAAAAATTTAAAATAAAACTCCACCAACAACAAATTGATTTTTTAATTAACTGATTTAAAAATAAGGAGGTAACTGATTTAAAAATAAGGTTTCAGTTTAAAGAAAAAAAAATTCTTAATTTTTCATTACTTATTATTTCAGACTTACATTATTATTAATATAACAAACTTATAAATTTACTTTCTTAATAACATAATAAACTTAAATATTAAGTTCTTGAATTTTTAATTTTGGGTAACAAAAGTTATGAAATAAATTTTAAGATAGCTTTGACAAACTCTTGACTTCACTAACAGCAATTTTTTTTTCTGAACTGATTTAAAAATAAAGAGGTTTTAGTAAAAATAACAAAAATAAATAAAAACTCTTGAAAAAAAATTTTTTTTTAATTTCTCACTATTTTAGGCTTACAAGTCACTTATTTAGTCTTGTTATTTAATCTTCATGGCTAAACCATCTGACTTTTACCAGTTTTGTAAACTTGAAATGTTATTGTAACACTTTAACATCGTCAAAAATCACACACATTAAATTTTATCACTTTTCTATATTTTAATAAATATTCAAAAGCTTTTCTCTTGAGCTGTGCATAATTCGTTTGACATAAATAATATAAATATAAAATATAATAAAATAAAAAAATTAGCATATTTTTAATTCATAATGAGTCAAATGATTAGCTACAGAATAACACAGATTTAAGTTTAGTTATCAAGGGCTAAATAAAGCAAGAGGCTAAGTTAATAAGGAATGTTGGTCAGGAATCTATGTAGATATGGATTCTATCTAGAAACTTTAACAATTAAAGAGAATTTCCTATAGAATAGAAGGATGTTTTTTTGTATTAAATCAGACCAAGGAAAATTGCTAAAATCTAGTACAGTTGACAGCTATGTAATATACATAAACATTTTACAGTGACACAACAACCAATATTTAACACCACATTTATGGGAAGATGCAACTTATTCTAGCTATATTAGTCATATCTGATTCTAAGTACTAACCACATTCAGGCAAGGCTCCAAAATTAGACAATACACTAGAATAAGCACCTCTCTGAGATTTCTCCAAATTCGGGGCGCTTTTTGACCACTTTTTATTACCGTCGATTAACAATCGTCGAGAATGACCACGTTCTTTCTGATGAACAGTACTTGGACCCCATGTTTTACCTTTTACTCCATCAACTGGTACTAGAAAAAAAAATACAATTATAAATCTCTATTTTTATAAAAAGATAACTGTTCTCTTACCATTCATGCATTCTGATTGAACAGAAAAATCACACGATACAATCATTAATAAACAAAAAATATCCAGATATCTTTAGCTGTCTCCAGCATGCAATAATGGTTATGCTGTTGAAATTATTAATTTATTTCTCATTGAATGGTATTTACAAGTAATATTTGTTATTATACCTTTTTAATTTTAATAACTTTCTATTTTTCATTTTTTTTTACTTTTATTATAATTCTGATAATGCAACATTTTAATTAAACATTTTATGATAAAGATATTTCAGTTTCTGTTTTACAATTATTAAATTGTAATTAAGTCACATTTACTTTTATAATTTGTAAAACAGTGTTCACACAACATATGCAAGTAAAATAATAAATACAAAATATTTCTGATTCTATGACTATATTAAGAATAGAATTAACTTTTTGAATTACTGCTAAATAATTGCTATGGCAAAAAAATATTCAATAACCATAATCAAAATAACCGGTTCTGGTTCGACCCGGGATCAATATTAACCGGTTTTGGTTCGTCCCGGGATCGATATATCAAACCAGAAATTAAATAATAACTTAAAAAACGTGTTTGTTAATGAAGGAATACATTTGGTGATGAATGTGTTTGTGGATATAATTAAAAATTAAATCTGAAAAGTCAAATCTGTGCAAATACAATAAAAAAAAACTTTTGGAATTCCTGTACTGAATAATTTTTAATTCTTAATATAACTAACTATTAAACATCAAGAAATAAAAAACCAATTGTGGAGATTAGACAAAAAAAAAAATTCTTTTTAATCCTTTCTAACATTAGAATAACCTAATGCCTAGTCTTTAATTTTTGATTCATTCAAAAGCAACAAATGAAAAACGCACTTGGTTACAAAAAGAGGCAAGTGATTAAAAACAAGATCAAATTTCTATTACTCAAACATCTAAATCTTGATGTTTGGATTATTGAAAGTATTTTAAAATACCCTGGTAAAATATCAACTTAACCATTGAATTTTTTTTTAAAACTTTTCAACACTGAAGCTCGATATATCACTTTTCTTGATATTTTTTTTAAAAAAAATTTTCCTAAACAATCAATAATTAACTCCTCAATAATTTGAATTTTTCAATTTATTATTTTTTAAAATTTACAATTTTAAACATTCTTAGTAGTTTCAAAATGATATTCAGTTGCGATTACTGTGGTAGAAATAAACCAATAACTTTACAAATTGAAATAAATTTTTCCCAATTTTATTGTTGTGATAACTCATCTAAAAAGTAAATGAAAAAAAAAACATGGCTATTCATACTGTTGAAAATGTTTTAATAATAATAATAAAGATTTTTTTATTTCTGGTACAGTTGCACTGTAGTTTTGACTGATTAATTCCATTTCTTACTTACAATACCACCCAAGCGGTACCATGAGGACACAATAATATTTCTATCAGAGTGTTAAGTTGAAAGATTTGAAGTTTATCCTAACTCTCTTGTTTTGAAAGTAAGGGAAGATTAAAAGATTGCAATAAGAAACACTTGAAAATGCGCAGTTGTAACTTGTGAAGATGTATTTTACTTTGCCATAGGATTTTGCTTGAAGCTCCTAGCTGTTTACTATTCTTTTGATAACACTTTTTTTGTAGATGTGTGGATTTAACACTAGACAATTTCAAACTTTTCTGCATTAACTACATGGAGTAAATAGAATCCCTGAAAGTTTAAGCATCCATTTATAAATCTAAACTCATTGAGAAAGTGAAAAAAGGCATCAGAAAAGAGAATGATATCACCACCAAATTTAGTATTCCATAAAAGTTGAGAATAATAATTTTGTCTGCTTCCAATGTTTAATTGTAACTTTTAATTTATTTTTTTGGACATCAAATTTTTGATAAACCAAAGCATTTTCTGATTATGCTTAAGTTATTAAAGTTTCACCGTATTTCACATATTAAAACACTGAGTTTCACACTATACATAGTTTCTGCTATATTTTGAAATGTTACATAAAACAGTCTCATAACACCATGTAAATCAATGGGTCAAAAGTTTGGTATTGCTTATGTACAACAAATTACAACTCAGATTCTTGCTTATAATAAAATTGCCAAAATTTCTCATAAAAAATTTATTTAAAATTTTGAAAAAGAAACTTACATGCATAAGCTCTTAGTCGAGGTAGATTTGGAGATGCTGGAGGACTTTCTGGACTAGTAGGCATGCGCAATCCTGCAATTTCAGGGCGCATAGTAGGAGAGGGCTGAACAGTTATATTGTGTCGAAAATCTAAGAAATGAAACAAAACTTTAACAAGTAATGAAGGGTAGTTTAGCTAAATTATTACATCAAATAACAGTTAAGAAATCTGTTATGTAATAAAATGAATGAGCATATGTTTTACATAAAAATGTCTGCACAACAAATTGAATTCAAAACCTAAACAAGAACCTGGTCAATGATCAGAAAAAATTAACTTTTCATTTAGAGTATTTCTTGAAAAAACTAAAAGGACAAGGGCTGTTTTGAAATTAATGATCAGCGACATTCTTTCTGCATAACAATTTTTGCAAAATTGAAATAATTCAAATTCTAATGATATACTAAATTTGAAGTCTATGTTAGCAGATCTTATTCAAGCAAAGTCTGACCATAATTTTGAAAGTTAGAAACCCTAATCTTTCAAAGTGAGTAGCATTATAACAACTGTCAAAAACCACATTTTAAGTTGAATTTGTAAAATTCTAAGTTAGGCAAAAGTCTATCCAAAACTAAAAAACATCACACTGGGTCTATGAGATCTAAATGTTTGAGACCTCTACTTTATCTCAATTATTATACTAGTTTACAAAGATAAAAAAAAATTCTATATCAGTATTCCTATAGAACTATATTTTTGATTTTTATTAGGACAAAATTCAACTAAAAGAATAGTGAAAAAATAACTCAACCAAATATTTTGGAATAGTCATCCAGAATCTCCAAATGCTACATTTTTGAATTAATCAATATAAATGAAAATGAATATGTGTGTACTCACATACTTACCTAAATTTAGTTTAAATGGAAAGTATTTAATGAAAGATATGAAATAATAATTCTATGTCAGTGGCTCTTATTCAAGCAAAGCTTGACCATAATTTTGAAAGTTAGAAACCCTAATTTTTTAAAGTGAATAGCATTTTAACAGCTGTCAAAAACCACATTTTAAGTTGAATTTGTAAAAATTCTATGTTAGGTAAAGTTCTATCCAAAACTAAAAAACATCACAATGGGTCTTTGAGATCTAAAAGTTTGAAACCTCTACTTTATCTCAATAATCATACTAGTTTACAAAGATAGAAAAAAAATTCTATATCAGTAGTCCTATAAAACTATATTTTTGATTTTTATGAGGACAAAATGCAACTAAAAGAGTAGTAAAAAAAATAACTCAACCAAACATTTTGGAATAGTCATCCAGAATCTCCAAATGCTACATTTTTGAATAATTATAAATGAAAATGAGTATGTGCGTACTCACATACTTACCTAAATTTAGTTGAATTTGCATTTACGTATTTGTTAAAAAATATGAATAATAAAGCTAACTTTATTATTTTATTATTAACTTTATTATAACCCTAGCAACAATTTTACCTAGGCCCCAATTGGGCTCAACATGGGTCCTATAAGAACATGCACCGAGGGACCAACATTGGGATGTCTAGATTTTTTAATATTGGTCCTAGAATGGCCTATATAGGGCCTACAATGGCCAATATAGAACCTATATTAGCTAAATAATGGATATAAAATATTGGGTGAATCTGACAATTCTACACAGGACCGATATTGATTGTAAGGTGATTGTAAAATATCGGGGGAATCGGAAAATTCTATATAGGGCCAATATCGGAAAAATAATGGCCCTTTAAACCCTTATTGAACCAAAATTTATGAATATTGGCTCATTGAGGGCTCAAGTTATTTTGCTGCTAGGGTTATGGCATTTATAAAACAAGGACAAAGCAAGAAAGATTGTAACAGGGCTTTCATATTTTAATATTCCATAAAAAAGGTATTTAAATATGGGAGAGCTCAGCAAAATGGATCTTTACTTTCCAACAAAAGTAATTAATAAGGTTTAAGCATTAATTTTGGTAGCTGACTTACAAGATGACCAGGGCAAGACATAAAATATATCAGTAAAAGATAAATACTAATTTAAGATATATAATCATTAGGAGTTCTTATGAAGTCAAGCAAGCCACAATAAATTTTTGCCATTTTTCACTTCAATCAGAGTTTGTAATATTCAAACAGTTCTTAGAAGAAGTTTGAAATGTAACTCAGAGCTTATTTTGTCTTTTTAGTTGAGTTTTAAGTTACAAAATCACAGAGTTTAATTACAGAGAATAATTTTAGTGTTGCATGTCTTTTATATTAATGAGCAACTTGTTCCAGCTGATAAAATAGCATTATGCTTTAACGTTAACTTTAATTGAATACTCCCTTCATTTTGTTAGTAAGTAAAAATAGCATAAACAGGTGGGGTTTTTTTTTAAATGTGGACAGTTTAGAAAACTTTTCTTTGAAAAACGGAGTCAATAAAGCCATTAACTCACATTTTAACTCCATTGGGGGGGGGGGGAAGATTCTAATTAGGATTGGACAATTGAAAAATATTGAAAATAGAAAATCATCCAATGTTTAAATTAGTGTATACTTTTTAAGCACCTTATTTCAATTCAGTCTTAATACTTTTTGATGCATCAAATACATTTATTTCAAAATCCCAACACAAAATGACTGCCTAATGTTATTTGCTTATTCACTATTTTATTATTTCAATAAAAAAAAAACATTGATTTAAGTAAACTGATTTGTAAAAATTATTAATTTAAATATAAAATATTTTTCATACAATATAATTGAAAAATTCATAATTAGGGCATGATGTTTAAGTATTATTTCATGACAAAGATTTCTTACTAACAATAATACTAATAATACTTACTAAATATAATAAAAGGGATATGCATGTAAATAATTATATTTCAAAATAGACTTAAAATTTAGAAAAAAGCGACTACACATGGAAAAGAATGTCATGGAAATTCTAAATTATAATTTTCCCTTAAATGTATGTAAAATAGATTGTGAGTCAAAAATTTTTTTTTAATCATACTCATTTAGTTTCACGCTTATTTAAATTAGATACCTTTAAAACTTATATGAAACAGAGTAACTTAAAATAATTTTTTTCAGTTAATTTTTTCTGATCTAAACTAATTTATTTTTTGTTAGATATCTAATTAACAAATAGTCACCCAATTTTCAACATTCATTAGCAACTTCAGTTTGAGAAACGTAACTATGATTTTATTTATTTACTGATAAGCTTTTAATAATTAAATAATAACTTTAACCCTTTAGTAGGAATTAATTATTTTAGCTGTAATATTGTTTTTAAATAACATTAAGTATTATTATTATAATATTATCTTAAGCTATGTTTTGGTTAGTATATGTAAAAATAAATAAATAAATAAAAATCAAAAATTTGATTTCAATCAAAAAATGAAATTTTCTGATTTAAAAAAAAATCATAATTTTTGCCAACTCTGTATACAAGTAAAATACACAAAATTCAATTTCCAGCAAACGATTTATCCTACTCTTGGCAAAGTGTTATTTCTAAGGATTTAATCAACATTATGAATGTATACATATGAAAGAGAAGATTATGTTTCTTACATATTTTTAGAAAAGATTGGATGATTTTGTATAGACAACTAATATGGAATTTTGGTTTTAGTCATTTTTCAAATTATCAATTTAATCTTGTTATAACCAATGTCTAAGAACATTACAGCATTAAATTAATTAATTACTGCAATAATTACATTACTGCATTAAATTAATATTTTTACCTAAATATTTGTTTCTTTCAAAAGCAAGAACTCAGAAACACTTTATAGGAAAGGGATAAATGTTTTTTTTTTTAACACAAGAATGCTACTAACAATATCTTTTTTATGAGATTGAGGAAAATTGATTGAGATATTTTTTAAAGTAATTTTGTTACTATTTGCTTACTTTTTGTAAACTTTAAATGAAAATTATGAATCACACACATTAAATTTCAAAATAAAAACTTACCACTAGGCATGCTGATTTGGCCACCAGATTTAAGCAATTTCAAACGACTTTTCTTAAACTTCCCTTTTCGTTTCTTTGGAGTTGGCCGCCCTTGTTGCTGCTGCAGAATCATAATGTTTAATTCTCTCTCAAGAAGATCAATTTCACGCTCAGCAAGTTCCTGTTCACGCTTTCTTAAAAATTCCTCTTGTATTTTTTGTTGTAACAATGCTTTTGTGAGCTCTTCTTCACGGCACCTTAATTCCTATTAAAAAAATTTATACAACTTATTAATAAATCAAGCATAATTAATAATAAACTGTGCAATTAATATTTCATGCATTCTTAATTAATTAATTGTAGGCATCCCCTACTATTTTAAGACATTTATTTTAAAATTTAAACGGTATGACTTTTAAGGAAAAGTATGAAAATGAAAGTACATTTGGGACTTTAATACGCTTATTAATGTTTTTTTTCTTTTTAAGAAAAATATATGATTCATGGTGCCACAATAGATGTGAAACATATGTGGTTTAACCAGTCAGTTGTTGTATTCATTATACCGCCTCTAGTTGTGTATATATTTGTCTTTGAATGTTTAATTAAAATATTCTTTGAATGAACCATTCAGCCATTTTGACTACTGGATATTGTTACACATGTTGCTTTTCAGAATAAGTCGATCATCCCACTGAACGACCTTGAAGGAAGAAAAGCAGTAAGCCTTTTACTTATTACTTAGATACTGAAATTTAAAATTTGGTTTATTTTAAAATTTTTAAGGCTTTTAACACAAATCATGAAGTTAAAAACTTTACTAGGAGGGTCAATAATTTAAATCAATGGTTCAAATCATGATTTTTTTTTTCAAACTTAATAATTGATTCACTTGATTTAAGAAAAAAACAAATTAAATTATTAAAACAAAAAGAAAAACAATGATTAAGTTAATTTGTTATGATTTTTAAGAGGTTATAAATAGAGTACAACAATTAAAAAGTTTCTTAAGGCGTCAAAATAATTTTATAAAATTTTAAACAAGCTTATATAACTTCTTTCATATTAAACTTGCGATCGTACGTGGAATTGGGTGTCCTACCAATCTAAATTTGTAAAATAGTCAAAATATGTCATCTGCATATGTTTTATTGCAGCAAATCATTTCTTTATTTGTAAACGGCATTTTTTCTCAATACATTACAAACAAAGAATTGCCAAAAAAAGAAAATTAAAAAAAATACCACAAAAGAGTTGGTGTAAGAACGTTTTTATGCTTTATAAATAATATTCTTTCAGAATAACTCAAAAGTACCTTCTCTTTGCAACGCAACTCGTGAAACATTTCTGCAATTTCATGCTTCCAATCTTCTTGAAGAGTGTGAAAAGACTCTTGAGGGGTGTTCATAAAAGGAGACTGGGCTATTTCAATTAATACATGAAGTATGTGTATAAAAGACGGTCTTTCATGGGGGTCAGAACTCCAACAAGCTGAAAAAAATTTTTAGTTTACACTAAAATCACATTTATAGACAATTCAAGAACACTGTAGATTAAAAATGAACTTTTTTACTTAAGAAAAGAAAAACATTGCTTTATAATATGCATACGCTGCATGCAAATTTAACAATCCCACTTTTTTGGTTGTTGCAGCTATAGTTTATTTATGTCGTAGAGCTGCACAGTGAGCTATTGGTGACGGTCTGGGAAACAGCCCTGAGGATGATCCGAAGACATGCCATCACAATTTTGATATTCTGAAAAGGGGATGGCACCTCTGCTTCGGCAGCCTGATGACCTGCGTGTAAAGTTGAGTACTTTACAATAGAATGGTTAACGAGGACCAATACTGCACTCCCTCTGGCCTTTAGTAGACTGATCGAAGTGGTCACCCACTCGCACACCGATCACAGTCAGTGATGTTACACTTCGGAGTTCTACTAGGAACCGTGCCTTAACGATCAATCCACTGAGGGATCCCACTTTTTTGGAAAGAGCCACTGTCATTTAGCAACATGCCAGCCTAATTGGAAAAGATTCTGGCATTTTAAAAACAGCCTAACACTTTATAAACTGTGAACTCATATACGTAATCAACCTACAGCATACTTATAGGCTAATTAGAAAATACATAATTCATTAATTAATTAGCCTAATATATTTCAGACAGTTTTCAATCGGTCAAAAATAATGAAGACTGATTCTAAATAGCCTTGCAAAAATTTTATTTAGGGGTGTACGGGGCACCTTCCTTACAGAAATAGTTTATATAATGAAATTAGCTATGATTTGTTACCCGAATGCACCTGTTTTACAAGATTTTTTTTTCCTCACCAACATCGGAGATAATAATTACCAACATGGGGTATAGATTATACTTGTGGGTCCAGATAAGTATGAGTAATGACTGGGAAAGTGGTAGCCAAGGTTTCAACGTAAAACCTCAAGGTTAGAGTTTGCCTAGTTGTTTCGAATAGTAGTTGATTTTCATGTTAACTTTGAAGTGATGCAAAAAATCTTATCCGTGTTTATTTTAAGCTTAAGTTTGATTGACAGCTTTAAACTTGACCGGAAAATTGCCGGGCTGATGCTTTAAGATGAATTTTTTTTTCTAACTACATTTATTAGATAAATTAATAATGTTCAAGTTATTTTGAAGTGATGCGCAGAACGACCTTGAAGTGATGCGAAGTATGTCCACTGAGTGTCAGACTAATTTTAATTAGAGGAGTATAATTTTTGTGTTAAGAAGTAAATTTGTTATTTTATTCAGTTTTTGACAGAACAAAACAGTCACCTGAGGGCTAACATTTGATATAGATAAGCGGTTACTTATGAACTGCATGTTTTGTGTTAAAAATGACCGTAATACAAGCGAACCTCGAATTTCATTGGGTTACAATATTTGATTTTGTTCTCAGCATCAGATACAGACGCATAACAAATAGTTGCCCAGCGGCTAACACATTTTAGATAAATTTGCAGTTATTTATGAAACGTGTGCTTTGTGTTAAAATATTACCGTAATACAAATAAATTTTGAATTCATTGGGGTTGCAATATTTGATTTGCGCTAACGAAAATGTACTAAAAGTGGTTGATGAGGAAAAAAATCACCAGACACCAGGTACAGATGCATTTCAAATCAGTTCCATGAATATTAATAAAAAGAATTTATTTAAGTGATTTAATTAAACAAAACACATACCTTCCATTAAATTAGAAAAAGGTGATGGGCACGTTGATGGTATTGGTAACGTGAGTTTATTGACTGCAACACCATAAGCTACAGCTAGTGCATCAATACCTTTGTATGGAGTTTCTCCAGTTAGCAATTCCCAAAGTAAAACACCATAACTGTAAAAAAGAGAAGTTCATAAAATGATGATCTTGGATCTTAGCAGTTATAGAGAGAATTTTTTAGAAGACACGTGGACTTACATCTTTATCTACAATGCTTACAGCATAAAACAAAATTCCTTATCTGCTAAAGCAATCCTTATTATCTTTATCATCTTGAGTACAAATAAACTTTATTATGTTGAAGTTCTTAACTTAATTGAAATTCACAAATTTTTAAACTTTTTAAAATCATCTTTGAACATAACAAATATAAAATAAATAAATATAAAAATTTCTAATTGCACTAAAACAACTAACTACTGTTGATAAATTTTTGAATAATTTTATATTTAACAAAGATTTAAAATTATTATTTAATGTAATAACTATCATAACAATATTCAGGCAAAATATTGCAACACAAAATAGTCAGCATCCCAAACTAATGACTGCAATTTGAACGCCTTGAAATTACACTCTAAAAACACAGATAAGTAGGAATTAACGTTTTCAGTGTTATACTCATTATTTGAAAATGAACTGAAAGTGTTTCTTATTTTAACCCAGCGCTTTCAGTCAAGATTATGGATAGTGAAAATCATCAGTGATGCACTTTTGCACCAAGATTATGCGACTAGACATACTCTGTAAGGTTGAATCTGTCAAAGATTGTGATTGCCTGACTGAGAATTCATCTATAACAATGCAGTCATACATCACCCTATAACAAACTATAAGCATAATAACTATTTTAAAAAAATTATTTGCAGGTTAAGTTGAAATTTAAAGCAATATCCAAAATTTTCAATTATTTTTGGTTATGTAAGTCTGTTTTTGGGAGGAAAGTGGATCTTTTTTAATTGTTTATTAATAATACTAATTAATAATTAAAAAAGTTTTCACAATTAATAGTTTGATACTTTTAATTTAAAAATTTTAATTATAATACCCAATTAAAATATTTATTATTACAATTAGATAATTAATTATTTATTAATTTAATCATAATTTAATACTTTTAATTACAATAATAGTTTAATTACTTTTAATTTAGATTATAAAGCAGTATTTAACGCTTTGTTTTAAATAAACCAAAAAATCAAATTTGTTTTTCATTTTAAAAAAAATTCTTTTTTTCTTAAAAAAATATATGCTTACTGTGGGGACGGTATTTATCGACAATGTCAACCTTCAACAATGAAAAGATACCCCACCATAGAATCGAGTTAGCATGTCTTATATACTAGTAGATTGGAATTATATTTTTTGTAGTGGTAGATACACTACACTTACCTCCAAACATCACTGCCTTTAGAAAAAGTAGATGATTTGATTACTTCTGGAGCCATCCACGCATAAGTTCCAGCAGCTGACATTCTTGTAGTTTTATAAACTTCTCTAGCCAATCCAAAATCAGTGATCTTCAATGTCTTATTTCTTAAATTATTATTCTCTAAAGCTTCACTCAGCAACACTGAAATAAAATAAATTATGCATAACTGAATCGACAAATTCAAAAACAGGACATCTACAATGAATTTGCTAAAGAGATAACCCTATTTGAGACTTATTTCAAACTCCTTGAACTTAATACAGTGAAACCTCCAAGAAAGACCACCTCTATTTAAGACCACTTTTGAGAAGCATGGAATTTTTTTTTTATAGACTTTGTATTGAAGAAAACCTTTAGGAGAGACCATTAAAACCTCTCCCAAACAGGGCAAACATCTAAAAAGGCAAAACACCGTATGCGAAAAAGTTCAAATAAGGAAACATGAAGAAATATCGAAACAAATAAGTAGATTAAACTGTATTCAAGATATTTGAATGAGACACTTATTCAGAGAGCTCTTTTTTACTGTAGAACCTCATGTTGCAGTCAAAGCACACTAAAGACGATGCTATTAATGATTTACATCTAGAGTTGAAAGTTAAATTATGACCAGAAAAAAATTATTTTAGTAAAAACAAGCATTTCAAACAAATAATTCCATCTTTTAAACCAAACTATTTTTTATGATATTAAATTAAATGCAATTTTAAACAAAAAAATATACTTGTTTATTTATTTAAAATAGCTTTATCATTCATAATTGGTAAATTTATTTTTACACATAATTATATCAGGTGGTCCTGACTGCGAACCCAATGGCTGCGGGTTCGAATCCCGCTCTGGGCATGGATGTTTCTCTCTCTTGTGTTGTCCTTTGGTGTGTTTGATGTGTGAATGTGGCCCACCCTATGAACAGGTTTGTGGCAGTGTGGTGTGGGCAACGTTACTCGCCTCCATGACTTTGATTCACGGGTGCCCACTGGGTAACGCGAAATGAGTAACAAATCTGGCATCTTGTAGGCGAAACGAATAAAGTTCAGTGTCTGCCATTGGAAAAAAAATATATCAGTTGGGATTATCTTTATAGATGCTAGATTTTATTCATCAATCCGTCTTTTCATGATACCAACAAAAGTGACATTTCTGCACCAAGAAAATGACACAGACTAAAATCAAAATCATGTACCTTCGATAACAATTTTGAAGTCAATGGAGGTAACCTCTCAGAACAACCAACCTCCATCAACAACTATTTTACTGTGAAACAGAGATTGGTCTCTCCCAAGAGGTTTTACTGAAATATGAATTCAATTACTGCAAATATAATCAATTAAAAATATATACTGAGCATCATAAATTGTTCTAGACTTGGATAGGAGGCAGGGTTTCCTAAAGTAGGCCTTCTAGACTTTAAGGCAGGGTCTTCTAAAGTGGGCCTAACTCGAAAAACACGTCTAGGGTTTTTATACAAGCAAGACCACTTTAAAAAAAGTTTAATTCACCAAAATTAACTGTATTAAATCAATAGATTTTACTTAAAAATAAAAGTAAAATAATTGTGAATTATTATCAGCTAACATATTAAGCTATGTTCAGGGCCACTAAAACCCTTGATTGCATGATTTTACTTCTCTGGTAACCTGGTTAACTGCTGTAAACAACAGTTGATGAAGTTTCAAAGGTTGATATAAAAAAATTTAGATTTTTCATGAATTTAAATTAGAAACCCTTAAAATAGAGGTACACAACCTTTTTGAGTGAAGAGCCATTTGCACTAAAGGTTGAATAACAGATGGCTGCATGCGTACTTAGACATGCTGAAGGCAAATATGATAATTTTATTTGTATAAACATTAGTGTTCTAAGCACTAAATTTTTTTTTTATTAGTATGATTGGTAATATGATCACAGAAAATTAAATACTTTTATTTATTAGAATTCATTCAAAAATGAAAAAACTAATATTTTTTGAATAAATTTTTTCCAGTTTTATTAAAAATTGATATGTTAAAAAAATATGTATAAATATTGGGGAAAAGGAATTGTTTTGTTTTTCTAACATTTCACGTAATAGGAAAGTTCATTTTAAAATAAATTCTAACAAAAGAGAAAAAAAAAATTAATGATCACAGAATAAAAGTATGAAAAAAATAAATAAACACATATTCACGTGTGTCAGTGTGCAGAGTGGTTACAATTGTTGTCCTGGCGATACAGAGAAACCGAGTTCAGTCCACACAGCTCGCAGAAAATGTAAAAATGTAATACAAGCTTTTATTTATTATTTCTGTGTCTTCTAGATGCTTCTAGAATGTTCCAATTTGTCATTTCCTGTTCAGTTATTTAGTTCTATAAAAGATAAGGTGCTTCAAGTCGAAACACCAGTCATTTTGTTCTCTGTACGTTTGAAAGTTCTTAATAAATCTCTTTAACTTTTTGAGCTGCTTTAGATTCATTCTACATGATAATAATATTTTAATCAGTAATATAAATTCATATTAAATAATTCAATTAACAAAATTTATAAAAATTGATGTTTTCCTCCTCTTTTTAAATTTTTAGTGACGAAATGACTTGTATTAAAATAACTGGAGTCTAAAAACCATGTGGAAATGCTATGAGCGAACTGACGAAAAAAAGATGGAAAAATAATTTGGATTTACGATGAAATGAACACATAATTATATAAAAAAGTGATTATTTAAATGCACTATTAAAAACTCGTGTGTCGCAATAACATTGAAGTTTAACGAAAATGAGACCGTCAAAACTATGTGGAGAGGTATCACAATGATTACCAGGGCTCTGTCCAGGCTGAATTTACTACCATTTAGTGGTACCTTCACAAATTCAACTTTAGGAAAAATGGTAATTTCACAAATTCAATTTTAGGAAAAACGGTAGTTTCACAAATATTTTTTCTTAAAATTTCATTTATGTATCCCTTAAGAAACGATAAATCCATATTTTTGTGTTGATTTTTAAATATAAATTTTAATTTTTTAAAAATTATCTCCAAATTTTCACAAAATAGGTACCTTTCAGAAAAACCTAGACAGACCCCTGGTTACAACAACAGAAAAACAACACAGTTAAATTTAAGATATTAAAACGAATAAAGCTCATTAATAAGACATTATTTAAATGCTTAATTTAAAATTCGCATGTTGTAATAAAAATCAGAATTTTTAAAGCCACGTGGGAATGTAGAGCAATAACTGCCTAAAAAATAGAAAAATTATTGGGATCAACAATTACAATAAAACAGCACAAATAAAGCACGTCAAAAAGTGACAAGATAAATCTGCGATTTAGAACTCTTATTCGTGTACGGAAATAATGTCTCAATAAAAAGGGATTTTAAAAATGACATTGAAAAGCATAGCAATGACTGCCTTCAAAAAAAATATAAAAAATTTAGATTTACGATGAAATGGGACCAAATAAAGCTCATCAAAACGTGATCAATCAGATGAGCAATTTATAACTCGCAAATAATATCACACTAACTGTACTGGGATTTTAAAAACTACAGGGAAATTAGTAGTTATGGCTGCCAAAAAAAAAAAAAAAAAACTATCAAAAAATTATTGAATTTATGATAAATTCGGCAAAAATAAAACAAGTCATATGTAAACTTAAATTTGAAGTTCAAGTATCATAATATCCATTAAAAATATTGGATTTTTTTAAAAATCATGTGTAATTCCAAAGCAATTACCGTTTAAAAAGTGAAAAAGAAAAATAGATTTACAGTAGAATCTCTGCAAATTGAGCGTGTCAAAGAGTGATGACTTAAATGTGCCATTCAAAATTTTTAACAATTTTTTTTTACACTGTGTTTTAACCAACAACAGGTTGGGCACTCCTATCTTAAAACATCAGAGCAACTCAAATTTGAAAAATGCAGCCTCAATAATTTAGCCAAGAAAATAATTGGAAGTTTAGAACTTTTAAATGAAATTTTTACTTCTCAAATATCAAGCATAATTTCACTTACTATATTAAAAATATACAAATCAAATCATGAATTACATTACTTAATAAAAAATTCAAATAAATGTAAAAAGTAACTTTTAATTAACTATTTTTTGGACAAAATTTTTAAAATTTACAAAATAATTTGCTTAGATTCTGAAAAAAAAAAAACTTTTCAAGTTTTTAAAAAAAAGAACTTTTAAGGCTTCTTCTTCAAATTGTGGAGATTTACCCCGTATTTTGTTGGATAGAAATTAAAATAAATTTTAAAAAAAATATGTTTAAATTAAAAAAAGAAGTTTTATAGCTAATCATTAAAATATAAATTTAAATATTATAATTCGATAAAATTGCTTATGCTTCACTATTAAAAATTCTTTTACAAATCTATGTAAAAATTGGATCTTTCACTCCATATTTTCTTATAATTTATTAAAACCACTAAAACTATTTAAATTATATATTTTTTTTTTAACCATTTTTACAGCATAAATCATTATTGTTTGGATAAATGACTAAGTTACTTAGACTATCTTTAAAGCACCTGAAATTTAAATAAATTTATTATTTACTCACAAAAAAAATCATTTTTCTGACAAATATTTCCATTTATGATGTATTTAAATCTTAATAGACTGATAATATATGGTTGGAGAGCTTAAGTACAATCTCCCTTACTTTGACATCTCATCAAAATGTCCAACTCAGGTGAAAACAATATAGGAATTATAAGCAACATTGGTTAACTGTCAGATTTTACACTTAAAAATAATTACTCTATATTTTAGACAAAGTTTTTAGATATGTCAGCATTACAATGCTTAGGAAAATTTCCGCATCACTGCCTATGACAAAGAAATAGAAAAGTTATGGTAATAACGAAGCATTGTCATGCGAGAATCTAAAACAATTTCATAAAAAAGATCTAACTCGAAGGGTACCTATAACTCGAACCGTTTCCAGGCAAATCACTATAAATCTTTTTATTTTTAAATTTTGGCAATTACAAAGCTCCTTAGAACCTTGAAGATGGTAAGTTAATTCAAATAAGTACTAATATAAGTACTAAACAATGTACCAACTAAATAATAGCCTTTTAATATACTAGATTTTAAATTATCACGGCATATTCCATAACTTACCATTACTAGATTTTAAATCACGGTGGATTAACGATACTGGAGCTTCATAATGCAGATAGTTCATGCCTCTAGCAATCTGTATTGCCCAATCAACAAGAACATCAGGAGGAATTTTCTTTCCGCTCAACACTCTATTCAAAGGGCCACCACGGGCGTATTCCATCACTAAACATAGATTTGGCTCTTCAAGGCAGACACCTTTAAGAGTAACAATATTAGGATGATTGAGCAACCAGAATAATTTGGCTTCTTGTCGAACATTTTCGGTGGTGACACTGATATCTTCATCCGGATCTTGCCTAGCTGCCTTGACTGCAACTTCATTCCCACGCCAAAATCCTCTGTACACCTTGCCAAATCCACCAACTCCGATCACTTCTTCCAACTCCAGCTCACTAAATGGAATTTCAAAAGGTCTACTGCTGTTCCCTACCTCTTCTAAGTGATTCACGTCTTTTTGGGTGACAAAATTGCTAGGAAAAATACCAACTTTGTCACCAATTTTACCCGTCCACCAACCTTCATCACCGGATATCTTGGAATCTTTGGATAAAACCTCAACTTCTTCACCTCGACGGAGCGACAGCTCGTCATCTCCAGCAGCTTCGTAGTCATAAACAGCTGTCCAAAATCTATTGTGATCATCTCGGACAGTGTCACCCTCAGCATTCCCCTGGCTAGTTTCCATGGAATAATATGGTATATACAAATGATTCAAGTTACGTAGTACAGATGAGCTGATTTCCCCCCATATCCATCGAGAAAATTTGAGGGGAAAGTTTTCCTATAGGAATGGAATCTTGCGGCTTAGATATAGTATAAACTGAAGCTTCGTCGTCAACCTTGCACATTTACTCAGCTTTCAAAAAAATTTCAGACGAAAAACACATAAAGGAAATGAGAATTGGTCACAGTATGTTTGTGGGACTTTGAATTTGCACTCAGTAGTGCTTCTAAGCTGAATTATCTCCCTTAGGAGAGACATATCAGCCTAATAATTTTTCACAACAAACAAATTTACATCGCCATGTTAGTGGATGAAGAATAGACGATCTCTCAAGTAAACAAAGCAATAAACAAAAACCAAATTTGTAGTTCTTACAAACACCGCTAAGAGCGCTAGCCATTCTTAAATTTCAAAAATATTTTTACGCAGAATTTTATTTAAAAAATGAAAAGTAGTCAAATTTAGTAATATTTAAAAACAATTTAAACCACTGTCATAATTTTAATTGATGATCCAATAAATATCGTATAAATATCGTGTATTATTGCTTCATCGTAATTGTTTGCTGATCGGTCAATCATTATTATTTGTAAACAAACATTTTCAATAAACATGAGTTTAACCTTTTCTCGAATTCGTTATTTAAACAATTATAATTTTATACGATTCTGCAGTGTTAAAAGACCGGTCTACGATAGCGTAAGTGATAACTTATAATAATATAAAAACTAGCAAAAAAGAAATTATTTATTTTTTCGCTATTAGTGCATACAATGCATGCAACAATTTGATTTTTCAAAAAAATTTTGAACTTATAGAATAAGACATGATAAACAACTAGTACTTAATAACTTATTGTATGTATTAAAAATGAAGCAATCTGCTCTGAACTATGCTACGAAAGGGAACAAAATTGCATAAAAGCATAAAATTTTATTGTGATGTTTAAATATTTCCTAATTAAACACTATTGTAGCCACAGGCAATGAAGACTATAACGTGTTACCAAGGATGCTATTTTATAAAGTTGATAATTATAAGCAACCAGAATATTTAATTTTAAACTCGTACTTTATAGTTGTTTTATAATCTACAACAGAATAATGGAAACTTCATTCATTAAAAACAAAAAACAGAAAATCATAGATGGGGACCAGGTGAGATTTCTTTATCCTGATCTGTGGTAGAATAATCGCCAAGTCTTGGAAACTTCCGGACAGAAACAGACTTGCCTGCAAGAAATTGAAAAGAAAAAAAAACATCACAAAGGGACCAACTCGAAAGGTATAACTGGTATCTACCCCGGGCAAACATCTACATGTTTTTTTTTAAATGTGCAAGTTTAAAATCTATTTGGCACCTTGGCGATTGTAGTTGCAACAGATCACGGATACGGAAATCTCCCCTTACTTGTAACCACACCCGAGCAAACTTCTACATGTTTTTTTGTTTTTTTTTTTCAAATTGCAAGTTTAAAATCTATTTGGAACCTTGGTGATTGTAGTTGGCTTGACAGATCATGATACCAAACTATCCTAGGGGACCAACATGAAGGGCATAACTCGTAACGCCCTTGCTCAAACCTCTACATGTATTTTTTTAAAAATTTTAAACTTTAACAATGTTTAGATTTGGCTCTTGCAGTTAGCACGACAGATCACGATATGAAAATTTCCCTGTATTTACATGGTGTAAGTCATGCCTGAAAGCCTATATTTATCCACCCAATTGATTCTTAACTTTTCATACATGATTTTTTTTTATTTGTCTGTTTATTCAGTTTCATTATTTGATAGTAGGATATATTTGAATTTTATACAAAATTTCCTAGTTGTTTGTAGACTTTTAAGGAGCAAGGCACTGTAAACTGAAAATGTGCACTATGTAATTAAAGAAGTGACACCCTTTCGCAAAAAAGGATTATATCACAAAATATAAAATTGTTTGTTAGAGACCATAATATTCAAGGTTCTTAATTTTTTCTTTAATTCTTAAAAAGATCACCCTGCAATAAGAAAAAATTGTGGATTTACATGAAACTCAGGGTTCATAGTGAATATACTATTTCTCATTTTAAAAATAAATTGTTTCACATGGGATTCTTTTTTTAAACTTATTTCAATACCTTCATTGTTTTCCATCTATTTTGAGACAATTTTGTTCTCCTCTGATTGCACAAATTTGATTGTCAAATATCAACAACAAGAATTATTATCAAACACAAAATGAGAAACGTAATTTCCCATGTTTTACTTGAGAAGATATAAGTGATATCAAATGTACTGGAAGAATCTCTGTGGCTTAAAAAACTTCATGTTTTTCGTTTAGAGGTTTAAGAACTCATATTAAAATTCCGCCATTTAAATTTATACCGTCTCGTAACTTAAAACAAAAAAGGAGGAAAATATACTAGGTCAAAGAAAGTAAAATCCTGAACTTCAAAAATAAAAGTTAGTAATGTTTAAAAATTCTTCTAATTTTATAATGTATCTTTTAATGTCCTTTATTCAAAATACGAGGGTTGTAAATTAAATAGTGGCAACTTAACCTTAAAACTCACAGAAAGGCAGGCATGTGCAAATAGGATATGGGAGCTGTGAGGTGGCTCTGTTGTCGATGTGTAGAGTGCTAAAAACAATCGTTCTGCTTAGAAGGGTAGTTGTTGTGTGGCGTTAAAGTGAGGAGTTTCGTTTCCCTCGCTCTAAAGCATGTTTTCAAAGGGTGATCAGCGGTCATGGCTTAAAATCGAGATTGCCCGTGGCAAAAATGTTACAGAATACAATCGAGGACTAGTGGAAACCTGTGGCGCAAATGCTTTACAATATAGGGCAGTAGCACGATGGGTTCAAGCATCTCCTCTTTTTTCGTCATTAAGCCCTTTGAAAACATGCTTTAGAGCGATGGAAACGTAACTTCTAACTTTAACGCCACACAACAACTACCCTTCTAAGCAAATCGACTGTTTTTTGCACTCTGCACATCGACGACAGCGCCATCTTACCACTCCCATATCCTATTTGCGCATGCCCACCCTTCTATGAGTTTCAAGGTTAAGATGCCACTATTTAATTTACAATCCTCGTATATATATATGATTAAACTAACAATAATTAAAGTAAAAGCAAAGTAAGTCTGTCAAATTAGCAACGACTACATTTAAGTTGCCGTTTTTTATTTAATTACAACTTGATTCTGATTTTGTACGATTGCTTTTCTGAATCACTCGTCCCCAAGAAGTTAAGCGTGTCTTCCCCCTTTTTTTCATTAAAGCATTAGTGAAAAAAAAAGTCTTTCGGCAGTAAATAGGCTGAATGGAAACTTAAAGGAAATTCTTTTTTTAATAATAGTGATTCGTGAAATTTAGGATTACTCAGCATCTAATT